CGATGTATCGATACATCGAACATCGATGTTCAAAATTTTTGCCCATCCCTACTACGAGTACGACTGCTACAACTGTACGAACTACGAATTATCACATAAAAGAATTTACAACAGTACAGTATAAAATAATGCCACTAGAGAGCAGTTACGTAGCGACGTACGACCACCGCACAACTTTGTAGCCAATAGCCACCTTATTTTATACAGTGTCCTATACTCCTATGCATTGAACTATATAATAATATAGTTATATATTATATAGTTCAATGGTCCTATGTAGTAGTTCGTGATTGATATGAAATATTTAATTGATAAAATATACCACGCCCCCGGAAACCGTGTTCAAGGCCACAATCACCCGATTCGGCCAAATTAGGGAGTTTCCACTATTTATGTAGTTTATATACCTCCATAGGAGTTTCATACGCCTATTATATTGTTTTATGATATTAAAAATTATAAGATAGTCCACTAGAAGCTCTGCACTAGCATTCAGATTTAAATCCTATACCCTTTTATAGCTCGTTGGGCAGCCCCACGGACTAAGACCCATACCACAAATTAAAATATATAAATATATAAATATCTTAGTTCATGGTATCCACATAGATAATACACATTATCTGTGGACTGTGGGTATCCAGTATATTATTTAAATTCGTGACCCATACTAAGTTACTAACATACTATCTTAAATCGTGGTCATGTCAGCAATATTAAGGGCTTAGAAACAAATCGCGCACCCACCCTCCACCCAGCCAGGTACTGTGACGAAGACTTCACCACCACTCCACCGCTTAACCTGTTGGAGCAATGCTTACGTCACAGACATGCGTATCACGAGTTGCTGATATACCTATTCATTTTATCATGTCGTCACTCGTCATAATTCTTGTGACCATTATTTAGTTGATTGTTATTTATAATTATAATGTTATCGACTATTCAACTATCGTATAAATACAATCGCATGTGACACGGTGTTTAATTTGACGACGATTGTTGATAATATAAAATATAAATTCCTTCATCTCCAGAGACGGGGACACGAGTCGTGTACTGCGTAGTGCGTAGGTCGTAGGACACTAGGACAGCAGCCCATTTAATGTGTCGTTGTTTCAATTGTAATTTGTAAATGATAATAATTGTTTCGTTAATCGTTCACTTAAATACAATAAACTCTATCTAAATTCTCGACCTAAAAGTGATTTAAAATGAATTATATAGTATTCGTTCTATAGTTATACTTTCAGCCACAATTGTTTTTTGATATTCTTAAATTCTAAAATGGGAGGCAAAAGCTCAAAACATGATCGTGTTATAGAACCATTAACCTTCGACGAAAATGATTGTATCGATAAATTGATGAGCTACAAAGAAATCGTTACCTTGGACGAACTGCTATACAGGTGGAATTCATACTTAACTCATAACATGAACGGTCATATTAAACAATTGTTTGCAACCAACAAACCGTGTCGACAGCGTGTGGTGCATGTTTACCGATGTTTATCGACCAGTGAAATGTACTATGAATCTTACATTAAAATAATGTCACTTGTACTTGCAAAATCAAATATTGAAAGATATACAATTGATCTTTTGGAAACCATAAATCTTTGTTTAAAGGATACTAATGAGTATGCCTACTGGATCAGAATTGGAGCCAAAGCACATACCATTCTTCAACTTTCATCTCAATTGTCTAAAGACAGTTTGACGGGTGATATTGCAACATGGGTGCGAGGCAATACCCTTCTTGGACTTTTGCATAGAGCTCTGGTTACTACGCTTTACTCAGTGCCACGAAAACTCGATTTACTTCCAGCTATTAATATAAATCAAAAATACATACAGTCGTTCAAAACCATTTTAGATCTTGGATGGATAATGTTCATAAAGAACAGTTTACCAGCTGATTGTCAAGATAGTTGGAGATTATTGTTTTCATCTACTTCACACGGTGAGAGCTTCCAATCACTCAACGCTGCCATAATTGACCAAGGAAGTACAATTTTAATTTTAAAAGATAATTCTGGTAATGTATTTGGAGGATACGCTTCACAATCGTGGTTATTAAGACCAAAATTTTATGGAGATTCGAGTTGTTTTGTCTTCTCCTTATATCCAAATTTGAATATATGTGCTTCTTCTGGACATAATGATAATTTTATGTACATGAATAGTGGTCAGCATACACTACCAAATGGCATAGGAATGGGAGGACAATTTGGTTATTGGGGTTTATGGATAGATTCAGAGTATGGCATTGGCAAAAGTAGTCCTTCGTGTTCGACATTTAATGATTATTCAATGTTATCAGCTAACAAAGATTTCACAATTGATTCATTAGAAATATGGTGTGTCAAAGAAAAACCAAAACTAGATGATGAAGAGGAAGAAAGAAAACATACTTCAGATAGAGATGATTGGGATATGAATCTATTGGATATGGCTGGACGTACAAAATACTCTGATGGATTAAGAGATGAAGATGAATTATTTAAATAAGTACCAGTAACCTAACCTAACCAATGAAGGATGTTCAATTATTCAATTATGTTATTAGTTTAACTTGACTCAAATGATAACCGTTTTTAGTCTAATAAATTACATTTTTGCTTTGTCATAAATCTTAATAAATATCTGATGTTGTTTGATTATTATTTTTTTTTTAGTTTGTTTTATTGAGCAAGTTATATTTAATAATTAATTTTAAATTATAAATACATATTTCTAAAATAACATTAAAAAAAGTCTGATTTTTTTAATTTAATAAATAATAAAAGCTTATTAAAAGGTTTGTTTTTGTCTATATTATTCCTTTATTTTACTCGGAAACAATAAAAAGATTTATGTAACATAAAGAGATATACAATAACAATTTTTGAGGAATCTAACCTATTAAGAGGACGTTGCACCTGCATATATTGTCTCAGTCTTACACGCGTAAACACATAGCAAATTTTACACTCAGCAGGTTACGTTTAATTTATTATAAAGTTAAAAGGTTTACTCATAGGGCATCTCATAGGATTTTTGTTATACTTTAATTATAAAACGAGTTATTTTAAGATGTACAAACAATTTATAATTTTAAAATAATCATAAATCGTTTTGATTTTAAAATATAATAATGTGACCTTTAAATTTAATAAAAGGTAAATTCACTCCAATTACTAAACTAACAAGCTAAACGTGATCAGCTGCTGAGCGAAGAATTTAGTATGTCACACATGAGTAGGACGGAGACAACATACGTGGACGTCTTAACATAACCATTGTCATTTGAAGAAGATAAGATACATTTTTAGGGTTCCGAATGGTAAAATGGGACCCTATTACTAAGGCTCCGCTGTCCGTCCGTCTGTCACCAGGCTGTATCTCATGAACCATGAAAGTTAGAAAGTTGAAATTCTTACAGATTATGTATTTCTGTGGCCGCTATAACAAAAAATACAAAAAATCCTAGAATATATAATATAAGCAGTGTTGCCAACATGTTTATAGCTGATGATGGTACGGAACCCTTTTGGACTCACACTTGGTCGGTTTTTTATGAAGATATTGTTTAGCTTGCATTATATGACATATTATAATAAAATTGCGTTAGTTTATACTAATAATCAAAAACATTTTTTGGTGCAGTTTTCTAATAAATTATTTTTATGACACAAATATAAGCCAAAATTACACTTAACTGTAGAAGACAAATAGTATACAATTTTACAATCATTGAGCTAAATTATTCTGATAGTTAGTCACAGGTACAACATGTGAACCATACATGCCTAAACATTTCTAACTGTCCAGTTACCATCCCAGTGCAAGCCACCATACGGCTTACAGTATGGACGGCCCTGAGTGGACTTGGTCAGCATTACTTTAGAAATATGCTTTCCCATTAAAATACTTAAGTAACACCCCCCTGTTTTGAAGGAAGATATAATGTTTCATTAAATTGTTCGTACAATGTATCCAATACGATAATGATAATAGTAGGCATATAATTGTAATAGCAAAGTGTAATTAATAAATCTGATATTACAACTGTTTAATATGTGTCATAGTCATAAATCATTTGTATCAATCATGATTACTATACTAATGATCAAGAACAAAATATTATCATTTACCAATTTATAAACATTTTGAATGATTAAAATTACTAATTATATGAATTCAAATTGTTCAAGAATAGTGGACATTTTAATTTTTACTTAACCTTCAGCAAATCATAAGCACAAGACTTGGTATTTTAATCATCACTTATCATTGGCAATTTAAATGTTATTTCAACTTAGTTACAATTAAATATAAACCTATGGCGCAAAACCAATTAGAATACGGTAACGGATGCAGTTTTACAAATCCATATTGTGACATTGTTTACTATTTTTTATAGCTTTGAAATTTAAGACATTATTACTAAATACTTGCTGATCTAGTTTAAAATACATATTTTATGAAATTACTATTATTGATAGTTTTCATAAAAACTAAGCGTTTATTTATATTTTACTGCTTCAGCCACAATGCATTTATTGTTGAAATTATTTTTAATGATCCACTGTATATTTTCTTAACTACACATAGATTATAAAAATGTGTGATCAAAACATAGACATAATATTATGTCTATGGATCAAAAAATGATGTCGTTACATTATAACTTTTCAGTAAACACAATATACAATTAAATACTGCTATTATACATTTATATTATTTATTTGATTTTACAAATTAACAAAATAATATTTTGGTACTGAAACATATTATGATTTCAAATTTAAATATGAAAATCTCTAATAAATTCATTAATAGATACAACTAATAGATTATCATTTATTATTATTATTATATGATCATTAACTCACAGTTTTATACAATTCGAAAAGTTATGATTTGAAAAAAGAAGTTAGCATTACCAGAGAGCACTTAAATGGCATAAAAATGAAGAAGTTTAAAAATATGATCTCTATTAAACATAAAAATTCTAGTCTGAATTGCACAATTATTAACACAAATAATAACATGATGATGTCACACTTGGCTAACAAATTACACACTATTCTTTGTCAGAAAAAAAGATACAGACTGTACCTAATCTGAATAAAAATATCCACAAGAAAAAAATCTTCCACTTACCCACGAGAACTACAGAAAAATAAATCCCTGAGTAAAACTTTTTCAGTAAATCAAACGTTAAATTGACTCACAATTTCAATATATTATGATATTATAACATACACAATACTCAATTCAATAATATAAAAATTATATCAAATAGCAGTTTTTTAATGAGCAACAAACCAATATAGGAGTATCAAAACAAAATTTTATTTTTTTTTAAAGAATCATACATAATGTGATACTAAACAAAATATTATTAACTTTGTCAATGTTTGAAAATGATAATATAAAATGTTAGTCTATGTTTATTTTTACAATTAAATATAGCTTGGTTTTATAATTCTCATTAAATAATGATTCAGTAATACTTGATTAAGATTAATTTAATTTATCAAATGTACATATTTGTAATTAAAAATAATAATTTTGCAATTATTATTCCGTCACTTTCAATGAAAAACCTGTATGGGAATATTGTATTCCTGGAATTCTCTCTGGGGATTTTCATTTTATATGTATATTTTGAATACAAAAATAAAGAGTATATTTCAGACAAGAATAAATAAAAATACAAAAGTTTATATGTGTAGGTATCAATAAGAAAATAGTATTATTGAGAAAAAATATTTTTGTTAATATTCTTAATTCTAGTTTGATAATTTTATTAATAGGAATAAAAATAGGTAAGTACATAGTTTACTGTTTATCTGTTATCTTGTCCAATTGAGCTTTAGCCTTATTGATTTCATCAATGTTTTTCTCTATCTCTGCTTTTCGTAATTCAATATCCTTTTTGATTTTGTCTACTTGTTGCCGTTGCTATTTAAAAAATTAATTTAATTCAATTAAATCCAAATGAAATTGTAAAATTAAGGTACACTAACCTGTATGTAAAAATATTCTTCTTCATTAGCAGCTTCACGTTCACCCATAGCACCTCCAGCTTCTCGGATGGAACCTCCACCACCACCGCCTTTGCCAGCGCCACTACCCAAATTACCCAAACCATCGTTTTTGAATCTGTTGAAACTAAGCAAAAAGAATAATCAATGGTCATAGAAAATAAATAAACAATTCGATAATCAAATTGAAAAAATAAAAAATCCGATATAAAAAGTATCTTACCTCATTGCCGTTGTGTTTATGGAACAGAGCGACTTGGAAGCCTTCACCAAGTATATGTTCATTGCAAGTTGTAACGGTCTAAGATATTAGAATATGTTGTACTTAAACAAGGTGTTTAAATGTAAACTTTCAAGTTTCAACGGCAATATTGCGTCGAAGAGTGTACGACTATTACAACAATAAATAAAAATACTTACTATTTTGTAATGATGGCTGCAAAAATAACCATATAATATTATAACAATATAACGACTACGGTCGGAAATTTAGGGATGTATTGCACAGTATGACGCACCACAACTGAACAGTCACTCCAATCTCAATTTACAGGTTTAATTTTGGGTAAACAAAAATAAACGTACTCTAAATACCATTAAACTATAAATATTGTATATTTCGTTCTGTGATACAAAAGGTAACCACTGTGCAGTGTGCGGAATCTCAATAAATATAGTACCCCTACCCAAGTACCCAACTCACATGTATGTAAAAACCACGGACTAATCTTAGTACTACTATCTTAGTCCGTGGTAAAAACTATATAGTATATAATATATTAGTACGTTAGTACCAATGCTAGTACCAACCATTTATGAAAAGGAAAATTTCAAATGGAAACTATCTTAAATAAAATTATGAGAGAAAAAACATAACAAAAAAAGTATGTGTGTTACCAGTACGCGCGCCGGAAGTTAAACTTCTTTTGAATGGTACACGTGAGTGAGTGAAAAAGAAAGAAAAAAATATTAATTAATTAAATAATATTGACGTGGCCCGATTATAATATATAATATATAATATAACAACACTACCATGACAATATTTATTTATTTACGGACATGTACGCTTTCGCGTTCGTACGGCCGCCCGTTCGTACGCGCCGCCCGTTCGCTTTTTTTTTTTCCTCACTACCCTGCGTAAAGAAGTATAACTTCAAAATACTTATACTTTAGGTCATTATTTATTTGGTTATATTGATAAATACTAGTATTCATAATCAAAGACAATAATAATATTATATTACTCGGTGGATGTACCTAAAGCATTATTTAAGATTTATATATAATCGAATCGCGGAAATAAGCTCAGAAATATAAATTTAAGTATAAATGTAAACACAATACACATATTGTATACTTTACGACTCTAGTCTCTACTCTCTACTCTCTACTCCTAATTATTAATTACCATGGACCTATAACAAAATTGTTAAATGTTTAACTTATAGTAGTACTTATGTATACCTCCTAAGACTGATGTTTTCTGACTTATAACTTTAACACAAATACACAATATATCATGACGTACCTACCTATACATAATAATATTGTGTTCATATTTTAATTTTATTTACAATCTATACTTTATACAATTAACAATTAATTATTATTTTCATTATAATTTAATATTATTTTATTATTATATTATCTGTAGGTTCATAGCAATTACTAATTAGGAGTATGTGTTCACTTTTATACTTCTGGGCTTTTTATCCTTTGTGTATTTATTTGTTTGGGATTTTTTTTCTGCGGGATTTTTTCCGTCTACCATTTAACCATTATATTATTAAGAATTATCTCAGAATAAAATACTCAACACTACATACCAATATACCTTGACTAATTAAATTATAATAATAATAATTTATTTATATCATGTAAGTATGCAACTATCTAAAGCCGTGAGCGGTTGTTTTTATGTTACTTATTTAGGCTGGTCAAAACTTTTGCCCTCCTCCATTAAAAACTGAAATAACGCTACTACATACATTTTGTCATGACTACATACAAGTAACAACTGCATTAAAAGACTGCAGAAACAATACTTCTTCCTTTGGACTTCGCAGTTCTTCCCTACTATCAGGATTATCTCACTGTTCTATGCACCCATAGACATAATATAGACATACTATATTATGTCTATGTATGCACCATTAAAGATGGTAGTATCACAGACTATATAAGTTTTATATAATCTGTGGTAGTATAGTACTTTGTACTTACTATCTTTAATCGTGATGAACAGGAGTCCACTATTCAACACAGATTCTATAATGTAGTATTGTAGCCTATGCTGCCTATGGATCAGTAGTTACCACGATTAAAAATATACCTTTAATCATTAAGGGATCATAATTCATAGGACATATGATCCCATCATGTTAGTTCATTATCTCTTTTAATAGTTTTATTATCATGACATATTATCAATTTTTATGCAAAGATAAGAAGATTCGAATTTTTGCTTTTTAGTTTTTACTTTGTAATTTTTTATAGGTATTACATATTTACATGTAATAATATGTAAATTGTAATTTGTACATTTTTAGTTGTGTATTCTTTGAAAACGGTACCTTACAGCTCATAACCATCAATACTAACCATTATACCTATACATTTGTAGTTAGTACTATTTTTCGGCACAATGGCCGAGCAATAAAAGCAACATGACATGTGCGATGTACACTCAAATCGAAAGGATAATTACAATCAGTAATGAGCATCATTAATTCGATTCGTCGATTTTTATTCCATTTACCTGGCAAACGGTTTGGATATTACAGGTAGTTATTTTTTTTTCAAATCAAAAAAAAATAAGTATTTTTGAACTAACAATAATCCGGTTTTTTTTTTTTAGAGCTATCCCGATATTCGTAATTGCCGGTGCTGGTCTAGAGTATTTGATGATCACTTGGCGTCCGTTCGGTGTCAACTTTTATGAGGTATATAAACGTAAACAAGCCAAAGAAATAGCTGCCATTAGATTAAACGAATAACACTAATGTCTGGAAATATATCAATTGCTGCTTATGTGAAATTTTCTCTAATGGCCATGACCTCTATGATGTTTGGATCACAACTAGTTCATAACCAATACAAACCATTGGATGATTTAGAAGATTATGTAGAAAAAGAAATAGAAAAACTTAAAGCTGCCAAAGAATTAAAAGTATAATGGATTGGAAGATTACTTAGCAAAGATATTTTGTGATTATTATTTAACAATAATTAGATAGAATTATGAAAAATAAAAATATTTAAAAAAAAGTATATGTATTGAATGCCAAAAAATAATGAGTGTGTGAACACACCTAATGGTACAACTTCTTTCATAAGTAATTGGACTGGCGAAATTATAAGTGAATTAGGAAGAGTGAGAAAAATCAATATAATAAAAAAAGAACACATCAAATACACACCAATAATATTTAATTTAAAAAAGAAAAAAAAGTATGTTTATGAACTGCAATCAATTTTATGTATTTCAATGTTCAACACGTGTTTTTGGTATTGTATCAATGACATCCTGTTATTTCTGTTGTTTTGACAATCTCAGTCTTGCCCGATAGGCTATATACTACATTTGTTTCAGCCTTCAGGTATAGGTCGAGATATATCTCGATTTTGTTTTACTTTTTTTGTAACTCCATGTTCACATTCCTCGGCTTTATTTTTACTCATTACTTTCTTTTTACTCGGTAATCGTAATCACTAATATATATGCAATAAAATTGATTTAATAGGTAATTTATGACATTTTTGTTTATTAATGGTTTTTATGGACAAATAAATAAACAAACGTGTAGGAACACGTAACATTTTACGTTATGAATTTTTTTTCACCCACACCACAAGAAAGATCAAAGAAGTTTTACTTCAACAAGTTCTAAAATTTTAGAATTCAAAAGTTTTGTTCATTATGCAATATGCAACAATTGTATTCTATTTTTAGGATTAGCTATTTAATTATTTTAAGTATAGTATAATATTATCTTAATATTTTTAAACACAATACCTACATTGTTTGAAATGTTCGATCAAACAATAGTAAATTACAGATTTTGTCAACATTTTACATGGAATGTTGGAGTAACCATAAGCGTGAAAAAACTAGATTTGCCTTTATAAAAAAGTATTAAATAAGTAAAGATAAAAAAAGAGGGCAAGTGGGTGTAAATCTAAGTAGTCTTCCAAAGTTTGAGATTTTTGTTCACATGCATATAACACTAGTTTAATGTCATGCAGAGAACTTCGAGTTTGATGACCGGAGTCTGGAGGCAAAGCGAGTCACTTGCTACTATAATGTACTGATGTTACTTCAACAGACAAGATTACAATATACTCATTAGCATGTTGTCTACCTGTAGATTATTGCAAAACAACTTAATATACCTTATGTTCATATTCTACCTTGTTCTATTATCATAAAGATAATTTAATATGCAGAATTATAATATAAAATGTAGAAATAATGAGTTATAAAATGGCATTTTTTTTCCTGATAAATTTAGGAAAATTTTGCTGAAATTACCACTTCTTCCCATAGTTCTCTTTTATTTGTCATCTCTTCTGGATTATATACTCCTATTAAACTATTCTCTCCGATCAAATTATTCTTATCAATTATCAACACGTTCTTAACTTGTTAAAATACTTTAAAAAAAAAATCAAAAATTGTTATAGGCGCTGTGCGTGGTAGTAAAGTAGTGTTTTGTGCATCCGTATAAATGTAAAATCACAAACTATGGAAGTCCATAACTTTCAAAATAATGCTTTAGGCAAAAAAATCGAACAGTTTCAAATCAGAGTTAAACAACACAATTTTTTAATAATTTTGAAATTCGTGAGGGGCATGGTGGTTAAGTGCATATGCTCCAGGCTTTTGCTTCCCTCCTTTCAAAATGTATTTTTAGTTCTGTCTAAAAATCTATTTATTTAAAATATAATTAAATCTTATCCATAATCTTTTATGTACTAAAATTATAAATGTATTTATTTCTGAAAAAATTTAGCTTCCCCTCCCGCATATCAGATTTGCATACATCTGCCACCTGCCAGTCTCTAAGATTTTACAAACCAATTTCATAATAATTGTTCCAACAAATATTATTTTATTCATTTTCATTTTTAATGCTCACCTTACGTCCATTAGTATTATTGTTAGGATGATATTGAACCACTAAAACGAACCTTCCTCTAAACTTTTACTCATCAAATAAATAACAAGTATATAATCTATATTTTTTTTTATTTTTTGTTTTTTTCTCATTATAAATAAAATTTAATTATTATTATTTTTGATATTCATATAAATATCATAGCTCATGATTGTATGAGCAATACAATACAAAGGTATTTAGTTTTACAGTATTTAATAAGCCTAGTTCTAAAAAAAGGCTTAACATCCCAACAGTTTAAATCTACCCTTACAGACCTAAGAATGCAGTTTTAAACTATGCGTGTAAAATTTAGTATGACAAAAATTCAAATTCAACTTATTATAAAAGATGGTGGATAAACAATTAACTAAATTAAGATATATGCAATGAATATTAATAATAAATTAAGATTATCTGCTTCTATCAAAACATAGAATTGTTGTACTTAAAATAAATTTAGTTAAACAATGGGTAATAAGTTTATATTGAGATCAATGTTTTTACCAATCATAAGTTTAACGGAAAAAAACAGAGAAAAATATCTCATACACAAATATAACTACTTTACATGTTACATTCTGACACAAATTGGTCTGCAAGGGTGAGAATAGTCAAGATTTTACATTATTTATACTATATATAATTATTTTATAAATTACTTATGTATAAACCTTAATTTACAGATTAATAGGGATGCCCTTATATATATATTTATATAAATTTACAGCGAGCTTAATTTTATTTAAACATTCTAATTAGACAAAAAAAAAAAAAAACTCACAACCGTTAATATCTAATTTGTTTTATCTTGAATATTTTTTCTCATAAGAAAATTTCTGTAAAAAAATTCCAAAATGTGGATAAGTTTTCCCAAAATTTACTTATAAAGTACAGCTATAGTTACATAATGATTTCATTTTTGTAGAAATTTCGTCCATTTCAAAAGGAATTAAAAATGTAAGTTACTTTCAAGTTATGGAAGACTATACCTACAACTTTATTAATACTATACTTATGACACAGTTGTCAGACATTGGACGGAGGTAAACTGTGCCAGTGGAGTCTATCGGATTGGTTGTGGTTCATTAGCAGAAGCTGCTGCTGCAGTAGTTGGATCATACTCCATAACTTCTTGATAGATAAGCTCTTTCCATTGATCAACAGTATGTTCACGTTCATCTACTGAATGGTCCCATGGTCCTGGTGCTGGTGCATTTACTTCACTTTCATCATACCAAACATTTATATATGGATGTAGCAATGCGTCGTCCACAGATATACGCTTTTCTGGATCAATAACTAGCATTCGAGACAGAAGGTCACGTGCTTGGCTTGCTATATTATAGAACAGTTTAGTATCGGTTAAATTTAATTTTTAAGTACATAAATTATTATAAGCCCCTTCAAAATTTAAAAAATATTATATTTTTTGTAGATTTATACACATTTAATTCATTATTTGTCTATTATAAAAATAACAATATTACCTTTTAGTTTATTATGTTCAGAAGAATCTGATGGAAATAGTACATCAGGGAATAATCGATCAAATGAATAACCTGGATAACGAGGTCTATTTTCTACATAATTTCTCACAGTTGGTTGTAACCTTCTCATAAATTCTTGTGATGGTGTGCCCAATTGTTCTATAATTAAAATGTATATTTAAATTATATTATTATTAGTAAAAATACTGCTGATGAAAATATTTTAATCTACCTATAATTTTATTCCATTGATCTATATGATCGGTTCCAGGAAACAATACGCCGCCTCTTATCATCTCGCCCATAATACAACCTACTGACCAAATGTCAACGTTTTCCTTATAACCCATGCCTAAAATTACCTAAAACAGATAATATAAATACAATTATATTAGTATTACTTAGTTTATGATTAAAAATAAAAGTACAATAAATAATATTTACCTCTGGAGCACGGTAGTATCTAGTAACAACATATGGGGTCATCATAAATGTAGTTCCAGCTGTTCGAGCTAATCCAAAATCCAAAATCTTTAATGTGCAGTCAGATTTTACAACAATATTACTAGGTTTAAGGTCCTAAAATAATAACGTGTTACTAGAATCCAAACCATTAATCAAAAAAGTTTTTAAATAATTAAAATACAAACTCTATGAATAATTCCCGCTGAGTGTAAATGTTTAATTCCACATAACATTTGATATAAAAGATATGACATTCGTTCATGATCAAGGTCCATTTGGATTACTTGGCATAGATTAGCATCCATGAGTTCCATTACCAAATACACATCTTGAAAATCATCTAATGTCCTTTGTGGTGTGAAGGCATTTAGTAAACCAATAATCTAGTAATTAAAAAAATAGTATACTTATATATCACATTATTGATTTAATTTATGATACATACATTTTTATGATTTACTAATTTCATAAGTTTGAACTCCCTATATGCTCTTTTTGCATGCGTTACATTTTGAAATGGTCTGGATAGTTTTTTAATAGCAACACTTTGTTGAGTAATAGTATCCATGGCCGCACTATAAGAAATTAAAAATTAGGTAAATCACTACCACTAAAAATGTCTTAGTACTTACACCACCATGCCCTGGGCACCTAAACCTTTGGGTACAAGATCAACATATCGTCTGGGAACTGAAAATTCAGTATCACCAAACACTAAAGTGTAGAACATATCAGCTAATTCAGTCATAGTGTCTGGTTTATTTTGAGGTCTTTGGACAAACCTTGATTGTGTTCCGAGCATTTTGTGGAACACCTCAAATTCAACTTTACCATACACAAAAACAAAAATAAAATAGTGCAACTACAGAAAAAAAATATAAATAACATAAAATTATAATAATACATTCATGCTATTCATGCAATAATTTTTAATAGACACTAACTACAGCATCTAAATTAACATACAGCACAAAATATGAAAAAATGTATTGAATAAGTAATATATTTAATCACAATAACAACAAAGTTAAAAAGTTTAATAACATTTTTAACTTAACTTTTATTAAATTGAGACTTAATCTCATGGAACTATTATCTATCATCGTTATTAACCAATAACCAATTTATGTACTATATATTTTAAAACAAATTAAATATATTATTGTATTTAATTTTTTATTAAATTAATTAACTGTATTTAAAAAATGTATATATTTAATATCTACACAATTTTTTTTATACATTGTGATGTAAATAAAATATATTTTTTATGTTTAATACATATAAATACTAATTATAATTTACAGCAGTTACCTATTGGTGTATTATAATTTATAAATTATATTTTATAAACTGTGCCTGATAAAAATATATTTATTAACTGTAAATAAAATATATTGGTGTCTAACAACTATAAACAAAAACTAATAAATAATAATAAATAAATCATATTATTTACTACACAATATAAAAATAAACATGCCATACCTATTTGAGAATTTACTAGAATATGCTTACCAAACTATGCCTTGTGCTCCAGATCCAATTGGTTTTAAATTTTGATATCGTTTCAAAATAGTGAACTTTGTATCGCCCACCTCCACTGTAAAGAAAATGGAGGAGGACACTCTAGATGTCATCCTAGGGTTAATATGAGGCATACGACTGAAGTGTTGTTCTTAGAAGCCAAAATGATCAGAAATATAATTCACACAGTATATGTAATATGGTTTTACTTGAAGCAATTTTGAAATTTGTCCACTTATTTAGATAAGGTTTAAGATCTGCAACGAAAACAAATACATAAAAGTATATTACTTAGACATTTTTTCATTTAAGTTAATTTTTCAATATATTAGTATTTTCATATATTCATAGAGTCAACATTTTGTAATCACAACAAAAAATTTAAAATGTTCATTGATCAACGAATCATTTTTGGCATTAAACAAAGTATTAGTATAAGTTAAAATAGTGTAATGAGATAATTATGAAAAACATAAAAAAAACAGAGAAAAATCTCAAAGGGAAACCATTACCTAGTTGTTTTTTGTTTGTTTTTTTTTTAAATTTTTAATTCCAAGTAAAAATAACAGCTTTTAGAGGAAAACCGCATTCCCAGTGGTCCACACTATACTAAATGTTATTCCCCTTATCTTTTAAAAAAAATTATTGAGTTGTATACAATATACTTGTATTTACGGATTATAAACTAGTATACTGCAGTATATATTTGTACTTGTAACCTATATTAAATATATAAATTGTGTAGATTAAACAAAAATGTTCGAAACTAATATGTATATATATGTCCAAAATTTAATGATAACTTGGCTAATTAGATAATTAATTAATCAAAACACCTCAATAGCCAATTTTATATTTTAGTTTTAATGAAGATAAGTAGTTACACTAGTTAAATATATTGTATACATTTTAAAAATCAAACTATCGTCTCCATAGGTCTTCATGTAAAAAAAAAACATAGTTAATGTAAAATGTATGTAAATATTTTTAACACCCTAAACCCAAACATTCATTATTAAAAAAAGCTTTAACATTTTTAGAAAAAAAATTTAAATATTATTTACACTTATAATTATTTAAGTTTTTTACTTTTTTGAATGACAACATACAGTTTTAACTTATTATTAAAAAGCAGAATATTTTTCTTAGTATTTCGAAACATTAGAATCGAATTTAGGATAAGTATTTTATGAGTTGTAACTGGGGCTGAGATTTTGATGCACTTTTCATTTTTTAATTGAGGTTGCTGTAAGATGCTAGCCAGAGCACAAATCTGTAATGTACTTTAGAATGAGAATAAGAATATTTTTTTTTGCATTTTTTTTGGAAATTTTGATTTCAACGAATTTTCTTCTTTTTTGAGGGCATTATTGGAGTTTTTGGTTTCAAAATTCAAACTTGAAATTTTGATTTAAGATTTTACATGCTAACGCGAGTTTTATATAAATTTATATATTTTATCTATCAAAATAGTTTAAAAAATATTAGAAAATCATTGTTTTTTCAGTTTAAAAGAAATCCAAGTTTAGCCTATGTAAATATTATTTTAATCACTTTTTTAATCACCCATATTTTACAATTTATTAAAAATAAAAACAATTTACCTAAATTTTGGTGCATAATTTAGTATTTTTATGGCATTTTTTAGGGTTTTATAGGGCATTACATTCCCAGCCGTAGTTATAACTTTTAAGAATTTAAGTATTTGTTCATCTGTGACTACTTGAAACCATGCAAAAATATTTTCAAAAAGTCAGTAATATTTAAAGTAATGAGAGTCTTACGTTAAATGTTTTACCCGGATATAAGAATGAGTTGTCGCCGCCCTATCTATTTTTTACCTACTCATTAAGTATTATTGCCTGCCTAAATATTAACTATTAACTATTAACTAACACAGCAAACTGTGCTGATATATATATCTGTGATATTTTTATAATGTGCTTGTAAGACTTTAAGCATCGTAACATTGGTTCGAGAGAAACTAGTTTTTTAGATTCTGAGTGGACCGATGAATGTATTGATTTTACAATGATGTGTGTTTTATTCTTTATTTTTTTTTTTTTTTTTTTTTTTGTGTCTGTGTACACGATAAGTAGTCGAAATAATGCTTCGATTTTCAACTTTAGTATCTTGTTCGATTGGAAAGTGAATATCGTTGGTGCATTGGGGAGGTCAAAATTTAAAATTCTCAGTACTTTTCAAAAGCGCCAAGAAAAACAAAAGAAAAATTAAGGAAAAACGGGAATTTTTACGCAAAATCGATTTTTCAGAAAATTGAATTTGGTTTTTGGTGTAACTTTAAAACAAATGACCGTAGATACATGAAATTTTCACTGGTTGTTTATATTTGCATTTTCTATACACGATAACATTTTCAAAATATTTTGATTTATTTTGAACTGTTTAGGGACATTTTCATTTTTCATTTTTTTTTTAGTTTTTTTTCTAAAAATATCAATAAAATTTTATTTGTTGGCTAAAAAAACTTGAAAATGTAATAGAAGGCTCCTAGTATATTGTTTCAAAGGCAGATGATAAAAATATTAAAAATCGTTAGTCACAGTTTTTTTTTATAAGCATTTAAAGTTCAAAATTGACAAAATATGGAAAAATCACGAAAATTAGCAAATTATTTTGAGTTAAGAATTCGTAAAAATTTTTCTTTTTAAATCTAAGATTTGAAAATGTAATACAAGATTACTCATAAGTTTGTCTACCTTTATCAATAAAAAAATCTCTACCGGACAGTCAAATTAAATTTTTATGAGCGTTTGAAATTCAAATTTTTACAACATTGGATGTTCACTCGATTTCTCATGTAGCGATTTCCTTATTTTGTTGTTTTTCATAAACGAATAACTATAGATACATGAAAATTTCACTGAATGTTTATATTAGCATTTCCTATACACCATACAATTTTGAAAATATTTTGACTCTTTTTGAGCTGTTTACGGATATTTTCATTTTTCATTTTTTTTAGTTTTTTTCTATGAATATCAATAAAGTTTTATCTGTTGGGCCAAAAAGTGTTAAAATTTAATACAAGGCTCCTGGTATATTGTTACAATATCAGTTGAAAAATATTAAAAATACATTGGCACAATTTTTTTTTTTATAAGCATTTAAACATCGAATTTTGACAGAATTTTTCAAAATCTCAAAAATTATCAATCATTGTAATTAATAAATTATAAACTGTTCAGTTTTTATAGCTAAGGATTGAAAATTTAAAACAAAGGTTCTCATAAATAGTTCATACCTACTGTAACCAAAATATCTAAAAATATATGAACACAGTTATTTTTTACAGACATTTTAAATTCAAATTTGGACGAAATTACATAATAAAAAACCTAGAACAACTATTTTAGTTATTTTGTTGTGATTGTATAATATTATTAGTGGGTACTTGAAACTTCTAAAGTATACTACTATATAATATCTATAATAGTATCAGGGTTTGTTGTTGGTGTATAGGTAATGCGTTATAAGTACTTAATGGATATTGTGATATGATTAATTTGGAATTCATTATAGGTCAATTTTTTTTGATACCATACTACCATAGATAAGTATATAATATGTCTTATACCTAGAAGGACATACCGTCTCCGCTCAGAATCGTTTTTCTTATACAATGATATAATCATTGAATTCAAATGTAATACCATCCATTATACAGTGACCCACTTGGAACCTACTGTACAGCAGAGCGACACCCACTTGCCCACCTTTTTTAATATATATTGTTCTATATGTATATATTAGGTAGGTATAAGGTATTCATTAGGGATTAAATCATAGACAATTTTAAACTATTTATAAGACTGAAAATACGTAATAAATACATAATATGTATTATACATATTATGTTATTTGTTGAATCTATGGTGCATAATTGTATGCATAAATAGATTTTTACGAGATGCCGTCAATGGTTTCCCTTTCACGTCAATAAAATAAACTCCCATCCAATTTACTCATTGTATGACATGTAAATACAAATTGTAAATATAAAATTTTGTTCATTAAAAAAAAAAAAATGGATTTTTAACCTCAAATATAGTCGTTTTTAAAATAATTATAATAAGATAATATTATGATTTCGATTAAACCTCGATTAATACTGTTATTTTACCAACTTTTAAGGTATCTGTTACGTACGCTCTAACTAACTACAAAGAAAATCGAAAAAATAACATTTTTCGAATTCCGGAAGATGGGATTTTCTAAGTATTAAGTTTGTACTTGGTACGTAAAACATTAAAA